CCACTGAAGCTCCAAAAAAGTACAGAGTTACTTGCGCCTCCGCGGCGCTGCTGGGTAAGCTGAGCCGAGCAGCGGTAAGACAGGCAATCCACTACCGGAGCAAGTGCTGACCTTCGTGCATGAGCTATTGAAGACAACATCCTTCTGCTCAAATGAGGATGTTGCAGCTTGGGCTACGGATTGGACTGGATAAATTAAAAAGGAAGGATGTCAGACAGTCATGCAGAAAGACCTTATCTTGATGAGGGTACGAAACCAGCGTCATGGGCGAGGGCACGAGCTCTGAAAACCTGAAAACCACCCAATAAGGGAAGCAGTGGTCTCGAAGCCCTAGGAAAACCACCACTCAAAGCTCAAAAAATGCAATTCAAGTGAATTTCTCTTAGGAAGTGGCCAAAATTGATTCCAGTTTGTGGCTCTTTCCCATGAGACCGGATTTTAACCTGCTTATCTTGAACAAGCACGTAATGCGGAACACGCGAAAGACAAGCTCTACCCTGGATCCTACTCCCTGCCATGTGCGGGTTCGGCAGCGGCAGTAGCGTGCAAGTTTAGCAGGTTAAAAAAGCGAAGTGCACGGGAGCGGGCTGGCGTGTAACGGTACCCTGATGTCGTTTTGATACTTACCCTACGCTGCCCCGGCTGCCACACGTTAGACCATAGCCAAACGCGCTCATTGTGTGTGCTCTAACTCTCATTTCTGGTTGTTCTCTACTGCTGGGTGCGTGTTTCGCTGCGAGATCTTGATGCGATATCGAGGCAAATGCTGCACATCGAGAATAGCACGGGCGCAGTGTGGAGACGGGCCGGGCATGACTACCCTCCAGCTCGGTGCCCTGCCCTCTCAAGTGGAGAAAAAAGCATCCCCTACTGTAGATGCCAACCTCCCCGCACATAGAAATACCGTCCTTGGAGAAGAGTGTGCAATTTGTCTCTGAAACAAGATACGTAATGCGGATCACGTCAAATAAAAGTAGGGTGTGAAAGACGTACTTATACCATTTTCACTTTAAATCGGACACTTTTCAAACCAAATCGGACACTTTTCAAACCAAATCGGACACTTTTCAAATCAAATCGGACACTTTTCAAATCAAATCGGACACACCCCTTACAATGGGCAGTTGAGAACTAGACCACACTAGGTACTGCTGCAAGCCCCGCCCCAACATCCCCGCCACTTCTTAGCGCGGCCATGGTTTTCCAAAATGTTTTATGAATTCTGCTTCTTCGAATCTTTTTCACTTTTGCTATTTGACACACATCAACTGAATAGGTTTGGTACCGACACATATATGACTCCGCCCACTTCACAATGAAGTGACGTAAGTTCTGAATTTTTATAACTTTTTCGACGTCGTTTTTTTCACATTCAATCTTCACAAAACGAATATAGCCATGCATTTACACACTAGCACACTAAGCCCCGCCCCTCTGACCACGCCCACTTTCGTTTTTCGCGGAATTTTGATTTTTCTTCCGAATTTTCACTTTTTTAGGCTGTGACAAGCGGCCCCGCCCACTAATGGAAGCTCCGCCCACTTTGTAGAAGCCCCGCCCACTTTTCAAAAATGATGCAGATCGGCGAGCTAGTGACCGTACTAGCAGGTTATGGCCTCTCCCGTCACATAGAATGAAAAAAAGGGAAAGACCAGAAAAAAAGGGGGGAGGCCGGGCGAGACCAGAGGGGCGGGGCTTAGTGTGCTAGTGTAAATGCATGGCTATATTCGTTTTGTGAAGATTGAATGTGAAAAAACGACGTCGAAAAAAAGTTTAAAATTCAAAACTTGCGG